CTCCAAACTTTGCCCTATTTCAGCATGAAGCAACTATAAGCAAATTCCATGCCCCAAAATGTCACTCCCCTTCATTTCCTTTTTGCTTACATAACCTTCCCACAAAGAGACTAGATTGCCTTTTTTAAGGTTTTATTATTAATTGTATGAACTCTGCCCATGATCCTGAATTGTATGTACTATCAGACACAATCTTCATGTGCTTGTGACAATTATTCTGTATGTCTTTCTGTATATACCATGACACAGGTGATTACAGCCCTCCCAAAGTTAAATGGGTTACCATTGTGTTGATTATAAATTTGAAGTATTAGGTCAGCTTTAACTGCAGTCCACAGTTGCTCATGACTAACTCATGTAACTCTTAATCTAGCAATACTTCATTAAAATACAGATTAACCAAATTAATACCACTAATCAGAAACTAAAAATATACTTAATATTTAAAATTAACCACTTCTGTTTGATAAATCAGAATCTTATTATTTAGACACACTGTACCATATTATGTCAAACTGACTAATGATAGATTTTTATGTTACTTCTCTGCTCCCTCCTTGGGACAGAGATATTCTAATTACATACAACTACACCTATTTGCTGTGAAATGTAATTCTGTATGATGTGGATGTGTGTTGCTCTAATTGGTTGATAAATAAAATGCTGATTGCACAGTAGCCGGGCAAGTAATATGGGTGGGATGAACAAACAAGGAGAAATCAGGGAAAAGGTAGGCTGAGTGAGGAGTCACCAGTCAGACACAGGGAAAGCAAGATGACAAAGCAGAACTGAGAAAAGGTACCAAGCCATATGGCTAAACATAGATAAGAATTATGGGTTAAATAAACTGTAAGAGTTAAGTCAGTGATAAGCCTGAGCTAATGACCAAGAAGCTATAATTAATATAAGCTTCCGGGCAGGAGAGATGGCTCAGTGGTTAAGAGCACTGGCTGTTCTTCCAAATGTCCTGAGTTCAATTCCCAGCAACCACATGGTGCTTCACAACCATTTATAGTGAGATTTGGTTTTCGCTTCTGACCTGCAGGCATACATGCAGGCAGAACATTATATACACAATAAATAAATAAATCTTTTAAATATATATATATATATATATATATATATATATATATGCTTCCATGTGCTTACTTGGGGGATGCAAGTGGGAGAGACTTGTCCCAACCGCTGGCCAGCTGGAACACAGGAAAACTTTTGACTACACCTATTAGATGGTTAAACTAATCCTCAGCTTTTTATCTATAGAGATAATTCATTATAAATATATTTAATTAATTATAATTATATATTATTGATACAAATATTGATTAAATATCAATATTAATTAACCATTACCATTTTTCCAATCATCTCCAAATTTAAATTTATCCACATTTTTTGCTTTCCTAGAGAGAATTAAACATTCTACTTTTCTTTGCTAAATGAAAAAAACAGAACTATTGCAAGCTGCAATAATACGAAGTAAGATTTCAGCTGATTATGACAAGCTACTACCTGGAAGAAGCCAAGGTCAAGCCAAGGCTCAAGGAGCCTTGGTGATATTGTCCTTTGATTATTAGCCATTTCCTGCTATGAATTTCTCATGTGTTGTTGTAGCATGTCCATCATTTATTAGGCACAATTTCCCCTCTAGTAATGGAATATGTAGATACACTTCTGGGCAGTAACACAGCCAGTATCCCTAATTTAAGGCCTTTCTGTAATTATCATCATTAGCAGCATCCATCCAGGACAATCTCTGGATGGAGGAAGTATCTTATTTGAGATACTTCACAGATTCACTAAGAACAGACTTAAGCATCCAGATTACCTGTTTGAGAAGGCCTGGTGGATGTGTTAATTAAGCTTAAGTTTCTACTTTTGGGGTTTAGATCCACCCTTACTTACAGTAAAACCAAATGTTAGTGTTCTAAAAAAGACAATAATAAATCTTGTAATTGCATTGCATTGTGTTACATTCATGGATCAACATCTTGCTCAGTCATCTTCAGAATATCTTCATTCTGCAGCAAAGAGGAACAAAGAGCAAACAGAAATCAACAGCCAGACATTATAGTGAGAAGAAGAAAACTAAGTTTAAAAGGGTTGCCTCCTTCACATATCTCCCTAAAAGCCACAGAAAATAACATAGACCCATATGTAGCAAGAGGATAAGAGGCAGACAGAATGGAGAACTATTAATGTCAAAGCATGTGAGTCCATTTAATGGGTACTATGGATTTATTAAGATTTACATTTAGAAATACACTCACTAATTCAGACACAAGTAAACTTCTCAAGTCATTTTCTATTCTGTAAGTGAGCAAATGCATCTAGCCAACAGATCAAGCCAGTAAGAAGAAGAATGTGACCCCTCTCCCTTTCCTTTTAAGAGGGCACATATGATGGCACGAAGCACAGCCTCCTTTGGCCTGTATAGCCCAAGTTCATGGGTGGAGCAGATACCATGACAGAGGACACCAAAGAAAAAATCCTTATAAATGAACAGGATTGATAAATAAATTAATCATAAAACCTAGGAAACAGGAACAGTGCAAACATGGCTTTTCCCACTTGGGGTCCCAGACCTGGGAGTAGAAGTGATCACAAGCCTCATCCCTAAACCAGAAATGATCTCCAACTGAAAACCACCAGCTAATGAGAATTTACTTTCCATTAAAGGAGTCTCAATAGGGAAGTGAACTACTTTTTAGGGTGGACTGCATGCCCAGAACTAGATGGGAACAAAAAATTGAGTCAACCTCATTTTTGGAGGTCCTTGTCTCATAGTATTGTGAGAGTTCCCACTTTGTTCCACTTTTGTAGGTGTTTCATGCTATGAGTGTGTGTATATGTGTGTGTGTGTGTGTGTGTGTCTGTGTGTGTGTATGTTCACACCTTTATATATGTAATTTCTGCTCACTTTTAAACTACACATTGCTTGCATATATGTTATGGTTCAAGAAAAGATATTTGGGGGATTCCTGAATGTACAAACACATGTGTTTAATTCTCATGCCTTCTCTTGGGCTCTTTTCCTTATGTTTGCCGATTTTGACCAATTCCAATGTGTTAGATTTTCTTTATCATAGTATGTTTTTTATTATTATTATCACCTAGAAACCTTACTGTTTTCCAGTGAGAGATAGAAGTGGGGTGGATTCAGATAGGAAGGGATGTGGGGAGGATCTTGGGAGAGCTTTAAGGATCTGGGAGAGGAAACCATAATCAGGGGATATTATGTGAAAGAAAATCTATTTCAATGAATGGGAAAGAAAAAAAGCCAGTGTTCCATTATAGTGCTATGTAAACTTCACTTTAAATTTTTCATTTAATTTCCCTTATGTGTATGTGTGCTTTTTGAGTGTGCTCTTATGTGCACACCTGTGTGTAGGTGTTCTTGAGAGACAGAAAAGGCATCTGATCCATTGGGACTCATGTTAAAGGTACCTATGAATGTTAATATGCATGGATTTGATAGTGAAATGGTCTTCTTTGAAAAAGCTGTACATGATTTTAAATGCTAATACATCTCCCCATCTTTCACAATATTATTTATATCTATATAACAAAACATCTTTCTTTCTCCTAAATTTTACTCCTCTAACTCCTAGTATGCAACAGCAGTCTCTTGTCACCTCAAGAAGGGGTAATTAGTCTGCAAATATTCATTCCCTCTACTACAAACTTTCTCAGTTTTTCTCTTACATTAAAAGTCACACATTAAATCAGATAACAAAAGAATTACTTGGAGTTTATTTCAAATATTATTTTGTATTAGAGAAATAAAAGAACACATCCATTATGCACTAATCTCCAGGAACCACGTCTTGAAAATAAGTGTTGGAGTGGAAGATTATAGGATACAATGTACAGAAAAGTAGTACACATGACATTTTTGGGCATTATAGAAGAAACAATGAGAATTGATAGCTGATGCATACATCTTGCATTGTATCACAACAGGTGTTTCTGTACCATCAGTATATTTTTCAGTAACAATTTATGAAATGAGTGTTTAGGAAGATGTTTTCTCTCTTAACTTTTGAAGAGAATTTCTCTCTGGTCGGAACAAAATTACGTAGCACTTGGGGATAAAGATGCATCCCAGCAGACCTGCACTTGAGGACAAAATGGAGAAGACCTCTACCACCATCATGACCTTGCCCTTGGTGCTGTGGTAGACAGGGAGAAAGGTGATCCACACACTGCAGAACAACAGCATGCTGAAGGTCAGCAATTTGGCTTCATTAAATTTGTCAGGGAGATTCCTGGCCAAGAAAGCCACAATGAAGCTCCCTAAGGCAAGGGAGCCATGGTATCCCAAGACACAGGAGAATGCAGTAACTGAGCCCTTCTTGCACACAATGATGATTTGACCATACTCAGAGTGTTCATCAATGTCAATAGAGGGAGGAGAAACTAGCAGCCATATTGCACAGACAATAATTTGGATAAGGGTACATATGGCAATGATGTAGTTGGGTGCCCTTGAAATCATGAAGAACCTCATCCTTCTTCCAGGGGCTATGACTATGAAAGCCAAAAGCACAGTCACTGTTTTGGCCAGCACAGTGGAAATAGCCACAGTGAATACAACTCCAAATGTGATTTGCTGTAGAATACAGGTAG